TATGATAACAATGCATTCTCTATGCTTTTGCTGCAAAAAGGGTATGGTGCTTGTATGACTTGTAGCCCTGGGTAAATTTATCTGTAGCATGTAATTATTGTAATCTAATTTGATCATTTGATACCTCACAGAAACTTGGAAGCTTTATGGAGATGCTATTTGGGGGGCGCTATGTACTCCTTTTAATGTCACTTTTTTCAATTTATTGTGGGTTGATTTACAATGAATTCTTCTCTGTTCCCTTTCACATATTTGGTGGTTCTGCTTACAAATGCCGAGATGCTACCTGCAGGTTTGTATTCCCACTTTTGGATCTCTAAACAAAGTAAAATCTCATTAACAGTGTTTACTGGAAAGATAAAATATGTTTTTTTTAATTTTTTATTTGATGTCTGCCTCTGTCTCACAATTTTCTCAAAAGCACCTCCTTTTTAATTTTTCATAACTGCTATTATGGATATAATTTCTTTTTCTTGGTTTTGATTTCTCAGTTGCTTTATATTTATTTCTTTTATGTGAGTATATATTGGGTACATAGTATTTGCGGCCATCTTTACACCGCAGTTGAAAGAAAATTAGATTTTTACACATTTGGTACTGCACCATTGAATCAACCTCCATAGATGTTTTAGATATAGCTTTATTTTTATTCGATAATAGCTCAATTTCAAGGCATTCCATAGATTAGTAATTTTCAGTTATGTGCATCTTTCATAGTTGTAACTTTAACATGTTAACAAAGGGAGACTAGCCCAGTTTCCTCCTCCTACCTTAAAGCATTGGTTTTTATCTAATGTTAGAGGTTGAGATTTGCAATGGTCGGGCAGACTAACAATTTCCCATATACTGAAAAAAGACTGTTTTATTCAACTAATTTTGTTACTCCACTGTTTTGGTCAGTGATGCACATTCTGCTGGTTTAATCAAATTTCGTGATCCATACCCATTTGGTGTGGATCCAAGCTGGCGTGGAAGTCGTTCAGAGTTGCCTTTTCTTAACTCTCTTAAAATGAAGCTGTCAATTTTGCTGGGTGTGGCCCAGATGAACCTAGGAATCATATTAAGTTATTTCAATGCACGTTTTTTCCATGACTCCCTGGATATTAGGTGTGTTTTTCTTCCTCTGACTTATACCCTGTTTTCCATTTGTTTTGTTAAGTGATGAAACTGGTACTTACTTTGCATCTTGTTGTTAGGTATCAGTTTGTGCCACAGATGATATTTCTTAACTCCCTTTTTGGGTACCTTTCACTTCTCATTATAATCAAGTGGTGCACCGGTTCTCAAGCAGACCTTTATCATGTGATGATCTATATGTTTTTGAGTCCTACTGATGATCTTGGCGAAAATGAGTTGTTCTGGGGCCAGAGACCCCTTCAGGTGTTATTTTCTCTCTTCTGGCGACTGAGGCAGACTGTTATTTGCCATGTTGTTGTGTTTCAAGTCTTCATAATGGTCTATTGTTGCTTAACTTGTGCAGATCGTATTGCTGCTTTTGGCATTAATTGCTGTTCCATGGATGCTCTTTCCTAAACCTTTTATCTTGAAGAAGCTTCATTCTGAGGTACTACGTTTGTTGACCTTTCTTGCTTCTTGCTTTCTTAATGCCTGCTAACTTTTTTTAGCTTCTTTGACTAACATTTACTGTTTATTGTACTTAGCATTTGAAATCAGTATAGTTCAAAGAATTTGTTGTGCTAAAAAGAAGAAAACCTTTAAAATTTGCCAACCAGATTGCCTAACTGAATTGCTGATATGCCACGTGAATCTTGTTGACCTATCTTCTGGTCCTGAAAATATTTTGTTATTTCTCAAGAGTTTCCTCCTTCTCTAGATAATGGTTTAAACGTAAATTAGTGTCAAGAATTATGTGTCTATGCATGGTAATCAAACCACCCTGGTGTAAACATTCTCATCAATGTGGGGCATGTCCATTCCACATGATAATAATGTGCTTGCTGCTAAGTATTTGGATTACCACAACCTTTTCCAGTGTGTGCAAGCTTCTGGTCCAACAATAGTGCTATAAGTTAGAACTGAAAACTTTAGTTTATGGACAGGAAATGATTTGAAAAACTCTTACTTCAACTTACTTTGATGAGTGGTACCTATGATGCTATGATGCAGAGTTGTGGTAAAAGAGTACCTCGATTTAGAATTGTGTATGTTACAGTGGAACCCACTAATGTCTGTTATATAACCAGTTTGTCTGTTCCGTCATCTTTTGCTAGGTATTATGACAGGCTTCTAAGTTAGGGCTGCATGATGACAACTAAGAATTTTCAGATTCCCTTTTTGCACGTTTGAATTGTTTTTGGATGCTTTATGTGCTTAGTTATTGCACTACTAGACCTTGCTGTTTCCAATTTTCACTATGAAGAGCAAATATAAGAGCATATTCTTACTTGATCTCAAATGCTCCTTCTTTTGTGGGAAGTTTAGTTGCTATTCTAATGACTTTGAAGAGCTAAGCATTTAATTACTCAAGAAACTTGTTTGAAAGTTATTATTATGATATTATCTGAAATGCTGAACTCTTTGGTTACCCTTTGGAATATATTCTAGGCCCTTTTCTATTTTTGTCTAGTATTATAGTAGTTCAATTATTAGAATAAATTTAGATGAGTTCACATGAATGTCTTGTTAGTTATTTGGTCTTTTTCCTTCAATATGTTTTAGAGATTTCAAGGTCGCACCTATGGCATGCTTGGAAGCTCTGAGTTTGATCTTGATGTGGAACCTGATTCTTCATGGCAACATCAGGAGGAGTTTAACTTCAGTGAGGTTTTTGTGCACCAAATGATACACTCCATTGAGTTTGTTCTAGGTGCCGTGTCAAACACAGCATCATATCTTCGACTTTGGGCTTTAAGGTAGACCTATGGTTTTCTCAGTTTGAATGTTTTCCACTGTCTCTTAAATAAATGTTTAGTTAACGGCTTCTTCTAATACATTACAGCTTGGCACACTCTGAATTATCGACTGTTTTCTACGAGAAAGTTCTACTACTTGCCTGGGGGTGAGTTTTTTTAATGTTCTACATGGTGCATGCTAGTCTTTATGTATATTCCAACTTCTTAGTTGTCCATGTTCTCTTCCTAGCTTATGGTTTATATATTTAAGTGTTGGATGCATGACAATGAAACTAAACCACTGTACAGGGCCATAAAATAAAAGCACTTGTATACTGTAGTTTTTGTTTCTTTTGTGATATAAGAAATTTCAAGCTATTGCTAGACTGATTGCTACTTAGTCAAGCTAGTTAAAACATATCATGACCCATATGGTTTTTGATTTCGAGCTGAATAACTTCAAAAATAAATTCTCTAATTGGAGCCCTGTCAAAATGTTAATGTTATATGGACTATTATTTTTATGAGATTGAATCTAGAATACATGTGCTTAATTTTCGGTTTAAGAATCCTAGAAGTGAGATTATACAGTGCTCGTGTGCCTGATGTGTATTAGCATATTGGTAAAAGGTAATGACTCCATGAGGAATTACTATTACAGGTATGACAACATTGTTATTCGATTAGTTGGGCTAGCAGTTTTTGCCTTTGCTACTGCTTTCATACTACTCATGATGGAGACCCTTAGCGCTTTCCTTCACGCCTTGCGTCTTCACTGGGTGGAATTTCAAAATAAATTCTACCATGGTGATGGTTACAAGTTCAAACCTTTCTCATTTGCCTTGATAACAGAGGACGACAATTAGCTAAACCATCATCCTGCTTTCTGTTTTTGGATCGAGCATGCAAGAGAAGAGATGAGAATATTATGATGAGGCAAGCTACACATATTCTATTGGCAGACGCACAATTTGACTGGTTAGAGTTACGCACAATTCTATCAAGCATTTTGTGCTGCATATTTTTTTAATGTCTTGATATAGCAAGACTTTGCCGATATTGATAGTCATAATTAGCACATTGACAGGTAGTATTACTTTTTTTTTTTGTGTCCTCAAAATAGGAGAAATGGGTTGGGAGGGAGGGAGGGAGGGAGAAGGGGGTGTTTGTTAGAGCTAGTTGTAAAAGAGGAGCTGTAGATTCATTATACCATGTAGCTTTGCCTTCTTTTTTGTTTCTTCAATTGGTGAGGTGGTGGGTGGGAAGGCCTACGTTTATAAAATTTTATATACACACACTAAATAGTGTGGATTTTGAAAGGTAATATTATAGCCTTTTGTCAAATTCTTAATGTAATGATTAATGACATTCTTATAGAATTCAAAATTTAATTTTTTTGTCCTTGATATGTTACGTATAGAATTCCAAGTATAACTTCATTTTTCGATTATTGTGGTTATCATCTTTTTAAAATTTTTAAATGTAGTGTTCACTATTTGTGGTGAAGAATCTGCAGATTTTACTGTGCACACGTTTTAAATGAAGATGAGATGCCCCCATCTGACGGCAATTTGTCTCACGAAACTTCCAATTACATTTCCCTAGTCAACTGGCTCTTATTCAAACCAAAACCAACATGTGAAAATTAAGTAGCCGCTTGCATTCCACCGTCTTATCTTATTTTCAGTGAAATTTAAACGTTGATTTTAGTTAAGCCAATATAATTTTTTATTAAAATTTTTATTTTCAATTGTAATTATAATAATTTTTTTTAATGACAATTATAATAAATTTTATTATTATTTTTAATTTTATTGTAATTAATTTTATCATTTATCCAAACGAAACTTAAATCAACTCGAAAGTTAGAATTTTTCTTACTCTTAAAATCTGTTTAAATATGAATATAATAATTTATATATTTATATATTTTTAAATTAAATGGGTAAAATAAAAATTATTATATTATAATTTGTGTGTATATATAAAATAGGAAATATATATTTTTTATTTTTATTAAATTTATATATAATAATTATTAAAATTTTAAATTATGTTTTTTTTATATTTTTTTTATTATTTTCATATTACATTATCATATTATATTTAAAATTATTAAATTTTGTCAAATTAATCGCCTAAAAAAAACCTATACAATCATGAAAATTCCACTACCTTCCGAAACGTGACAGCAACACAAGATAATAGTTAACAGATACTAACCAAAAATGAATTTAACCTTCCGACTTTCTGAGTTTCGGCTTTGAGGTCCTTTTTTCCATTCACCGCCAAAGCGAAGGGCCACGTATTCTCTCCCTCTCTCTATGTGGTTGCATAAAGAATACGCCCACATATCCACAGTCACGAAGGAGCTGAACTGAACTGCTGAGGCGTGAGAATTCTGCTGTTTGAATATGGAAGCTACAAGTTTGAAGAGAATCAAACATGGTTTTACTGAGATCGTCAACCGAGAAATGGGTCTCTCTTCCTCCAAAAGCTTTTCTCGCCATTTCTCTGCTTCTGAGGTTTCATATTTTATGGGTTTTTTTCCCCTTCTTTTTAAATGTTAAAATCTTCTCTTTTTCTTGTTTCCAGATCCTATTCCATGCTCATCTCTTTTTTTAATAAAAATTTTACAAACTTTATCAAAGTATCAAATGAATTCGGAAGGAATAGGCTTTTATAGTAAAAAACATGAAAAGCTGCTGTTCTATTCTTGTTCTATTTATTGGAAAGAAAAAATGGGTACTTCTTTTATGTAATATATTGGATGAAATTCTACATGAACTGGGTATGAGCTGTTTTTTTTTTTTTTTTTTAACTGCATGAACTGAAACTTGCTCTAAACGTGCCATAATTAGGATTCACTAGTTTTCTTTCTATTCAATATGAGATACGGCTATAAGTCTTAATTGTCTGTATTTTGGTACAGGTTCTAGTAGAAAAAATCAACCTTTATGGTGAGCTAAATGGCCATGAGGGCTGCGTGAACACTGTTGTGTTCAACTCTACTGGTGACCTCCTGGTATCAGGTTCTGATGACAAACATGTTATGGTATGGAACTGGGCAACTAAATGCAAAATACTTTCATATGCTTCTGGCCACTTAGACAACATATTTCAGGCCCGAGTTATGCCCTTCACAGATGATAAAAGAATAGTCACTTCTTCTGCTGATGGCCAGGTGAAATCCTATGCATATATTTATCCTTTCTTTGATTCTTGATGCCATTAGGTTATGGTTGCACATTCAAAAAAATTTCTTGAGGCTCATCTCGGTAGAGAAATATCTCTTACTTCCGTCTTACCAATCGGAACTAAGACAGATTTCCCATCATTACGTACTTCCTACATTCTGAAAATTTATCCTCTCATTTCAGGTGAGGCTTGGAGAGATTTCAGAGAATGGTCAAGTCAGAACAAGAAGGCTGGGGAAGCACCAAGGTCGTGTGCACAATCTTGCTGTGGAGCCAGGAAGTCCCCACATATTCTATAGCTGTGGTGAAGATGGCTTAGTACAACATGTTAGTTAATTTAATACAAAGTGCAGTTTTGAAATTTAGCTTCAATTGTTGTTTGGTCTTGTTGTTAATCATGTTATTTTGTTTTGCAGTTTGATCTGCGAAGTAGTTCTGCCACAAAGCTATTCCAATGCTTCTCATACAGTAACAGGGAGCCTTTAAACTTAAGGTTAAATGCCATTGTATTTGATCCAAGGAATTCAAATTACTTTGCCATAGGAGGTTCTGATGAATATGCACGTGTCTATGATATCAGAAGATGTCAGTTAGATGCATCTAATATTTCAGATACACCAGTGAACATATTTTGCCCTCGTCAGCTAGTTAACTTTAAACATGTGCATATCACAGGATTAACTTATTCTAACACAAGTGAACTACTTGTCTCTTACAACGATGAGCTGATTTATTTATTCCAAAAGAACATGGGGCTGGGTCCCTCCCCATTATCTCTCCAATCTGAAGCTCTGCAGAGACTTGAGGAGCCACAAGTTTATGTGGGTCATAGGAATTCACGGACAGTCAAAGGAGTGAGTTTTTTTGGCCCCAAAGATGAATATGTGATGAGTGGTTCTGATTGTGGGCATATATTTATTTGGAAGAAGAAGGGCGCTAAGCTTGTTAGATTAATGGTAGGTGATGGACATATAGTAAATCATCTTGAGCCGCATCCATATATGCCTTCTTTTGCTACTTGTGGAATTGATAAGAATGTGAAGCTCTGGGCTCCCATGGTCAGTGATGCTCCTGCACTGCCTAAAAACCTGGAGAAGGTATCATCTTATATTTTGTAGTTAATGAGATGATTAGGATATTATGTATGCATGTTTTCTCGTACTTATATTCTCTATGAACAGATTATGGAGTCTAATAGGCAGAATAGAGAAGACCAGTCACGGGTAAGCCTCACACCTGATGTTATAATGCATGTTCTCCGCCTACAGAGGCGGCAAATGTTTGGATATGTTGAAAGGAGGTACAATAGGGCTGATCTAGACAGTGATGAAGAAGATGGAGGGGAAGATTACTTTTCAGGGCTCTCAAATGACAATGTCTCTTCTGAAGAGGATCCTGCAGACAGCTCAGGAGAGTGCAAAATCAGCTAAAGTCTTGTAATTTAGAAGTAAGCAAAGTTATAAGTTTTTTCAGTTAAGCAAAGTTAAAAGTTTCTTCAGTTTTCTTTCTTCTAGTAACATGCCAAATAATTTGTCATACCATTCTTTACACGATTAAGATGATATGGAATCAGATATTTATCTTAAAAGTTCTCATCATATGAGCGTCAACATGATCTTTTTTTAAGAATGTGCGCACTAATTATTGAATCACTCGTTAGATTCATGACTTCGATGTGCAAAGATCATCTTCTGTAACATTTTATTCTTCAGCATTGACATTTTTTTTTTACGAAGCGTTCATTTGTGGCGATTCATTGCTGTTTCAGTCACTATGGTTCCTGTTTCATAAGATGGGAAATTGGTTATCCCCTCAGCAACAGGAAGTGGCATGGAATGATATAGTTAGAGCATGAAAGTGCCTCCGTCTGCAAAACAAGGGAATGTTGCTCTTTCTTGGCTATACTTATCCTAGTGAATTTCCTGGTTTTTCAGGAATCAAACAGGATTCTTTCATCATTATGTGGCATGTGGACCGACCAAAAGTATACATAGCTACTTTTTTAGGTTGACTAATTAACCATATTGTAGATGATAGTATATGCTTATTACATATAAATGGTAGCCTATATATTTTTAAGTGATTGAGCCTGGTTGAACTGAATCATAACATATCAAACTTAGTTTTATTTGTTTTTTGAACTGAGTTTGAATTTGAATAATAAAATTTAATTGAATTTATGTTCACATTTGTGATGAGTTTTGCATATTTTGTATCGTATTTACTCAACTTAATTTGATTACACCCTTATTTCCTCAAGTTGATTCAATCACATCCATGATTCATTCATGTTAAAAATCTCAGTTTAATGAAAGAGAGAAAAATGTTGATTTGGATGGCATTTATCAGTTATTTAAAATCTAAACATGTCCATGACAAGATCTTTTGAGTGGTATGTGATAATAGTTTATTATTAAATAATTGTTTTGTATTTTATTCTAATTTTAAAATATATTTAAAATATCAATATATTAATATACAATTTTTAAATATCTTAATAGTAATAATAAGATTTAATCTTCCCCTTAAGGCCTAGGTCCAAGATGCGTAAAAGGTGGGGCAGAAATGGGCTGGGCTACTTAATTCCCATGGGTATTTACGTAATTTAACAAAAAGCCGAGTCACGTGATCATCCTCTTTATCTTTCTCCCTTTCCCGCTTGCCGAATTCACTGTAAATATATATATATATATATATATATATATATATGTATACGGTCATCCAAAGTCCAAACTTCTAAAAAATCAAGTTCATTTGCTTTTCGACTTTCATATTTCAAGTTTAACAGTTGAACTCTAACCGTCAAATCTTTGTAGGCCCCTCCTTCCTATTAGGCATAAATGCCTATAATCCAATTAAACATTTAATACAATGAAAGAATAATTAAATGATTAATTAATCATATAAAATTAATTAATGTAATTTAATTTAATTAATTTATATCTACTGATGAAAAAAAATCTATTAATTATAAAAAATTATAAATATACAATTAAAATTAAGTACTCATAATTAATACTCATAAATTTTTTTATCTTTTTTAATCTTGTAAAGTATTTTCAATCCAAGCATATACATACTCGTATACACTTATGCATTATATTTATGTGAATTATTTTAATCTCTTCTAATCTACTCATCAATATCCAAATATATATACTCATAAGACGTAAATTTTTAGTAATCTTATGTGGTATCTATCCCATAAAAGCTTATAACTATTTTTTTTTCATACCTAATCCTATAGAGAGTTCACATATTTATAAGCATACAAATTTACTTATTAAAAATTTATTTTTTCTTAAAATTTATTTTTTTTTAAGTTTTTTTGTCCATAAAATAATATTTAATCAATCTTAAACAAATTACTTTTGGGATTTGGGTTACTATTCATAATAATCTCTACCTTGATTTAAATTATATTACTTATTTATCTTCATACTAGACATGCTTAATTTCACTTACAATGAAAATTTCACAATTAACTTTTTTCATATATTTTCATGCTTCATACAAATCAATCCTTTAAAACATGAATTTGATCTATTTCCTTGAATTGAGCTCGTCTGAACTTGTCTTTTCTCATATCTCGAAACTTAAGTTCTTTTTATATCTTGAACTTTTAGTTTTAATACTATTGTTAGGCATAAAAGCCTCTAATCCAATTAAACATCTAATACAATGGAAGCATAATCAAACGATTAATCAATTATGCATGAGATAACAAATTAATATAATTCGACCTAATCGATTTATATCTACAGATAAAAAAAAAATTCATTAGTTATAGAGAATTACAAACATATATTTAAATCAAGCACTCACAATTAATAACCATTAAACCTTTCAACCTTTTTTATTTTTTAAGTATTTTTAACTCAAACATATACATTCTCGTATATACTCATGTACCATACTTATATGTATTCTCTTAATTTTCTCTAGGCCACTCATAAATATTTAAACATACAACTTATAAGACATAAATCTAAAATAATTTTATAAGGTGTTTATCTCAAAAAATTTTGTAACTTTTTTAGATTTTTTTATACCAAATTTTATAAAAATTTCATCTATTTATAAATATACAAACTTATGAAATTTTAAAATTTTATTTTATAAATATTTTATGTATCAAATAATATTTAATTAATTTCAAATAAATAACATATATTATTTGAGACAATATTTCACCACTTCCTTCAAATTATCAATTTTCACTCTTAAAAATGAAAAAAAAAAATCCCATAAACTAAATGAGTTTTTGAGATATTATACAAATGGAGAGCGATCTCTTGGAGATCTTTGGAGAAGACGACGATTCCTTGCTTTTACAGCACCACCAACCTCAAAACGGCGACGTTTCCTCATTTAATCCCTCTTATTTCTTTTGCTCTCCTCTCCATTTCCCTAGATCTAATCCCCAGGTTACTTCCTTTATTTATTTTTCTTTATTTTTTTCGTCCCCTAGAGTTTGTTAGTCTTTGTTTTGCCAGATTCTAATTTTTGTATTTTGTAGATGAGAAAGCGAAAATTCCTTGCCTTTTGATGAATGCTAATAATAATGAGAATAAATCAGAACTCTCAAAGCCAAGATTAGAGCCACATCAAATGAAGAGGAAGAAGAAAGGTGGAGGTTATAATTTGAGAAAAAGCTTAGCTTGGGATAGCGCTTTTTCCACTGAAGAAGGTATAATTCTTTTTATTATTATTATTATTATTATTTGCTGGTTTTGTTGATTAAAAAAAACAAAATTGAAGGTTTTTTTTTTTTTTTTTTTCCGTATTTTCTTTTGTGTCAGGTGTTTTGAATTCGACCGAATTATCTTTGATTAATCAGAATTTTGGTAAGTTGAGCGGGGACAAATTGTCAGTTATAGAAGAAGACACGACAGACTATTATCCGGTGATTCCCTAGATTTGAAGGCACTTGAGAATAATTTGTTCAAAGAGTTGCCTTTAAATGATAGTAGTAATAAGAAAGAGGAGAAGATTGGTCGTAGCTTACTGCGGAAGAGTTCCAGTTCAGCCCCATGTTCCACGGTCAGTTAGTCCTTGTCAAATGTATATGTGTATAAAAAGTAGTATGGATTTCCTTCTTTGTGAAATGAAAGTAATTTATCATTCTGTTAAATGTGAAATTTGGTCAGGTGAAACAAAATTTTGTTTCAGTTCTTGGTTTTAATAGAAGTGGTTATAAGCGAAGTGGTTGTTCAGGGCCCGTTGCCTCATCTGCATATCCTTTTTTAGTTATTTGTTTTATTGAATTGTTACAAAGTTGTGGCTTGTTTTGGTGAAAGCTTACATGATTTGCTCCTTTATTTGTATATGGCTTTATAGAAGAGTTTACCTTATCTTTTTGAAATCTTAAAAGACCTGCAAATGTGAGTACAACAAAAGCAACTGTTAAGGAGCCAAAAGTTTCTAAAATACCTGCCCTAGCTAGATTCCTCGGTCCTTCCTACGACTGTCAAGAGTGCTCCAAACATAAATAAACCAAAGCAAAATCAGAGTGCTTAAACAGGTAACTGGCACAAGTAAAATTTTTTGGAATTGCTCATTGGTTTGTATTTTTATGTTTCATTATTTTTCTTTTTTATTTTTTTTTTGGGGGGGGGTGGGTTGTGGAGGGGTTAAATTAACCTACATTTGATAAATTTATTTTGGTCAAATTTTAGCACAATTTGTTATCATGATTATCTTTGTTTCTTCTTCATTTTCGGTTGCATGTTTATAGTCTGATATATCGTATTATTGTTAGAATTTAAATTATGCATTAGTGTAAGATGCGATTTGATATATTTGTATTTGGTTGGTTTCTTTTCTCATATTGCAGTCAATGCGCACTGAAGCACTGAATTGACGGGTTCCAACAGAAGTACTAAAAGTATTCAAAATGATGCAAAATCTAGTGTTTCTGGTAGATCTCAAATCACAAAACCCTTTACTCAACTGGCTGAAAGTAATGTGGTGAGACTAAATCTTTGGTGGTCAGAGTTTATCTCAAACTTTGTGGGATTTAAACATGATTAACAAATTTATCCTCCATTAGTTTTGCTTTTGAAACTGAGAAACACTTGCTTCTTATCTTCAATTTCTCTATTCTATGTACAGGGAAGCTCAGCATTTACAAGTCATTCATCAACCTATTCACAGCATCCATTAGTTACTAAGGCAGATAATGGCTTAAAGGTCAGCCAAGAGCCTGTTATGGCTACTGGTCATGAATCTATTAATCATGAAGCTCATTTGCATCAATGAAATTTTTTGCTCAGGTATATTAACCTCACTTGCATCAGCAGTAAATTTTGATGTATTTAGGAATTTTTTAGAAGCACCAGTGGGGGTTCTTCCCTTTCTCTTTTTGATTTATGATCTTTTTGCAGTCAAAGACTAATGCTGCAAATAATCTACAGAGCAGCAGTCAACCATGCAATAATCCAAAGTCCAATATTCCTAATTTTTGGAAGCTTGGTGTCTTAAATTCTATCTATGAGAGCCCCACTCCAGCTATGAAAATACATGTAGTGGCTACTGATATAGCTGCAATCGCAACTGGAAGGATGTCAAGCACAGAATCGTCTGTTCCGTCAAGAGCTAGTTCTTTATGCAAATACATAAGACCCAATTCAAGGGCAAGTAAAATGCCAAAGGTGGAAGTGAAGGTTCCTTGTAATTCTGACAATCATGATTTAACAAATATTCAGCACCAACTGCACACCAAAGACAATGATCTTAAGAAGCAAATTGAGATTGCAAGATTGCAGTGTACTGATAACAAATTACTCTTGCAAAGTCAATCCTCTGAACAAGTGAAACTAGATTGTAAGGGGAGGGCAGATCCTGTTATTGCTAGAAGTCCAGATCACAATTGGATGAGTTTAAAGATCCCCATTTTATCTCTCTACATACTTTGAAAATAAAAGGTGCCTTGAAGGCTGATGATGCTGGCAACCAACTTTCAGGAAATGATCAGCATACTTCATTGATGGAGGATTTTGATCTTTTTCCACAGTTGCATTTCAGTGATGTTTATAGTAGTAAAATATACGTGGTTCTCGAAAAATAAATTATGAGCAGATAAGCATTCATGACGGCCATGAACAAACAAGCAAACAAGCTGAACAGGCAAAACCTGGCGCCTTTGATGATGATCAGAAACTTAATGAGATTGAGAGGTCACATATTAATGAAGGCACCTTGCTCGAGGAGGGTGAATGTTCAGAAGAATTTTTTAGTGTGGAAAACACTTATTCATAGTTGGTTGTAATTTTATAATCTGTATATTTATATTTGTATCTCTATAATTAAGTATTTATATCCTTAAAATTAAAGGTAAAAAATTAGGATAGACAATCTTTTAATTATATGATTATTTTTAGTAAGATTTAGTTTTCTAATTTTTCACTAGCTAGTTGTATATAAACTTAAGATATTTGTATAATTTTTAATGAGCAGTTTTTAATATATCTTCAGTTTTTCTTTTAGTTTTTCACGTAATTTTATTTTTTTAGTTTTTTTATATGATATCAAAGATTTAGGCTCTTTCTGGATAGAAAAATTTTTCAGCTATTATTGTTGAATTCTATTTCAAGCTTCATAGCCAAATCTTATTAAATCTTTTAATTTTATTTTTTCCTTCTTTGACTTTTGTTGCCTAGAATTGTCTTTTATTAAAATTTTACTAGTAAGACTCATTTTAGTTTTAAAAAAGATAACCATGCCAAAAATAGGAGAATCTGTCACTACTATCTTATTTGAAAAAGTGATAACTGGTAAAATCACCAAAATATTACAAAAGTCTTGGGAACAAAGAGAGTTGGACAAAGAAAAGATTGAGAAACTAAGAAACCTATTGAAAACTTTTAAAAAATCTGTCGGGGTATGTTATTTAGATAAGGTCTTTAGTTCAGGTAAAGTTCTAGTTCTCATGGATTAAATATCTAGGTTAAGCCTATTATGAGCTTATAGGTAATTGACTTAGGAGTCAAAGATCATATAACGCATTCCTCACAAAAATTTAGTATATATACCTTGTACCTAATAATAAAAAAATTGTTATTGCAAATGGTTCATTTACTACTGTAACAAAATTAGGAGATGTTCAAAGTAATCTCTCGTTTGTTCTTAAAAATATTCTTTATGTTTCTAGATTGTCTACTAATTTGATATCTATACTTATTAGAGATATGAATTGTAAAGTGACTTTTTATCTTTTTTATTATGAATTTTGGGACAAGAGTTTGAGGAAAATGATTGAACTTGCCAAAGAGAAAGATGAACTATACTATCTTGAGATATCAAACAATACAAGTAATATAAAAAATAGTTTATCTTTGTCATTTCTTTCTGAAAAATTTTTCAATAAAGACAAAATCTAGCTTTATCATTTTTGTCTTGGACATCATTCTTTAGGAACTTTGAAAAACATGTTTCCTTCTTTGTTCAGAGGATTAAATGTAAAAAATTTTTATTGTGATGTTTGTGAACTTGCAAAGTATTGACGTGTGTCTTTTCTAGTTAGCAATAAAAGAAGTTTTACTTATTTTTACTTTATTCATAGTGATATATGGGGTCTTTCTACAATTTTTAATATTTCTGGTGTAAGTTGATTTATTTTTTTCATAAATGATTGTACTAGAATCTTTTGAATATTTTTACTTAAAATCTAAATCATATGTGAATATTTTTTCTTAAATCTAAATCAAATAAGAATAATATATTTTTAAACTTCCAAAACATGATCCAAAATCAATTTGAAGTGAAAATAAAGAGGTTTAGGTCTAATAATGTAAGAGACTATTTCAATCAAAATTTATCTACCTATATTCAAAAGAAGGAGAATATCTATGAGTCATCTTGTGTTAATATTTCACAACAAAATGGAGTGATAGAGAGGAAAAATAGCCATTTACTAGCCATAAACTAAGTTTTACTTTTTCAAGCAAATGTATCCAAATTTTACTGGAAAAAATTGTTTTCACTACCACACACATTATAAATAGATTATCTTTAAGGTTTTTGAGATTTAAAACTCTTATGAAAGTACTTTTACAATTTTATCCCAACTTTAATACTACAAATAACCTCACACCTAGGATATTTGATTGTACATCATTTGTTAATGTTCACAGCCATAATAGTAGGAAGTTGGATCTTAAAGTAATTAAGTGTATTTTTGTATGGTATTCATCAACTTATGAAGGGTATAAGTACTATCATCCATCTACCAAAAAATTTTATGTATCTGTAGATGTCACTTTCGAAGAAAGTAAATCATTTTTTACTCAACCTTATCTTTAGGGAGAGACTTCATTCATGAAAGATAAAGATAAAGGCTTTTTTTTGCTTGACTTGTTATGCTCTTCAATATTTTCACCCATTAATTCTTCTGAGTCTAAACCTATTTCTTTTAAGCCCAAATCAAACACTAAATTTGAGTTTAAACCCATTTCAAACACAAAAGATGTGACAAAAGATAATATTATTCTTGATACTATAAAGGAATTACAAGTATACTCAAGAAGGAAAGTTTCAAATCTTGAACCAGTGTAAGTCTAAAAATCTTATCCTAACTTTGGAAATGAAGTAATTACAATTTTTGACTCTGTTTCTTAAAATGAGCATGAATCTACTAAAATTATAACTAGTGATTATGATTTGCTTATTGCCTTTAGGAAAAGAATCAGAGAATGTGTTAAGCATCCACTATATCAATATCTAATTTTGTGTCATTTGAAAAATTTTCTCCATCTCACAAAAATTTTCTTGTGAGTCTAAATACTATTTCTATTCTAACTACATTATCCAAGGCATTATTCAATGAGAAATGAAGGCAAGCCATGAAAGTAGAAATTGATGCCTTAAAGAAAAATAAGACATGAAAACTGGTAAAGTTGCTTAAAAAAAAATCAATTAGGTGTAAATAGGTTTTCATTGTAAAATACAAGGGGAATGATATTGTTGAAAAGTATAAAGCTAGGTTGGTGGCTAAGAGCTACACTCAAATTTATAGAGTGGATTATCATGAAACTTTTACTCTAGTTGCTAAGATGAATACAGTTAGGATTTTATTATCATTGGCTATAAATTGTAATTGGTAGCTTCAACAATTTGATGTAAGGTATGTTTTTCTATATGATGATTTGAAAGAAGAAATATATATAAAGGTTCCACTGAGATTTGAAGGTCATCTAGAAGTAAACAAAGCATGCAAATTAAAAAAGGCTTTATATGACCTTAAACAATCTCCTAGGACTTAGTTTAGGATATTTGTCAAAGTGATGCTAACAATGAGATATAAGCAGAGTCAAAGAAAGCACATGTTGTTTATTAAGCACTCTAATTCATGGAGAATCATAGTTCTATTAATGTATGTTGATGATATAATTATAACCAAAGATGATGAAAAAGAGAGAGAATCTCTAAAACAATATTTAACTAAAGAATTTAAGATAAAAGAACTAGGGAGATTGAAATACTTTTTACAAATTGAAGTAGCTTTTTTACAGCATGGTATTTTCATCTTACAACAGAAATATGTTATGAATCTTTTGAAAGAAACTAGGAAGCTCGCATGTAAATCTATAAATAGTCTTATAGATCCTAAACTTGGAAAAGTTAATAAAATATTACTGTATATAGAAAGAGATAAACCAGAGATTAGTTAGAAGACTCATTTATCTCTCACATACTAAACCTAATATAATATATACTGTGAATGTGATAAGTCAATTTACGTATAGTACTAAAGAAGTGCACCTACAAACAGTCTATAAGAATGGCAATGGATTAAGTTGAGGTCTTTTTTTACTTGTTCTGAACCTGACCCGACTTTATATCCATAATACCCAAACTCGATTCGATCTAATATTATATAAAATTATACTCGACTTGACTTGAAATTAATAAAATATTATTTTTAAATATAAAATATTAATTTTTAATGTAAATATAAAATTAAATAAATATATAAATATAAATATAAAAAAATAATTTAAAAAAAATTTTATATATACCGAGTCAAGGTAGGGCGGGTTTGCCTAAAACCTGACCTCGACCCGACTCTGATTTTATTTTCAATTATTCGACTCGACCAACCTAAAATTCGATTTTAAAAAAAATCGACCCTAAGAGGTCAAGTCGGGTCAAAACCCATCGAGGACGGATTGGGCTACCATCCTTAGCTGTCTATCGTGTATTGCATTATTTAAAAGTCAATCTTGGGAAATGTATCCTACTAAAAAAATTTAGGGTTGATTCTAGAGGCATATATAGATGCGGATTATGCAGATTCAATAACTGATAGAAGATCCACATCAAGCTACTACACTTTCCTAAATGATAATCTTGTGACTTGAAAAGTAAAAAACAGAATGTGATGGCAAGATCAAGTGCTGAAGCAGAGTTCAAAGTAATGACTCAAGGATTTTGTGAACTACTATGGTTAACTATTATCCTTAAAAATTAAAAAATCAAGTGATATAGACCAATAAGACTCTAC